CCCCCCCCCCCCAAAAAAAAAAAAAAAAAAAAAAAAAGAAGAAAGGAAGCCAAGGAAGCCAAGGAAGACGATGGAACAGATCAATCCCCAACATGTTTCAGAAACCAATCAGGAATACGACAGAGCAAAGGCACTAAAGGACTTTGATGACGCAAAAGTCGGTGTTAAAGGAGTTGTTGATGCTGGGATAACAACACTCCCTCAGATCTTTGTTATGCCACCAGATGATCAGGATATAACAACACCTTGTGATAATGGCAACAAGAAGCTGCCAAACACTTCAGAGTTTCCTCAGTTCAAGGTTCCATTGGTGGACCTCAAAGACATAGATGATGATTCTCCGCGGCGAAAGCAAATCGTCAAGGAAATCAGGCATGCTTGTGAAACGTGGGGGTTCTTCCAGGTTCTTCACCATGGGATTCCACAGCATACAATGGACAACATGATTGAAAGGGTGAGAAGATTCAACGAGCAACCAAATGAAGTGAGGAGGGAGTTCTACTCGCGCGACAAGATAAAAAAAGTGCGGTTCAATAGCAACTTTGATCTTTACAAGGCCAAAGCTGCAAATTGGAGGGACACTTAATGTGTCATGGCTCCGAATCCTCCACAGCCTGAAGAATATCCAGAGTCCTTGAGGTACACAGTTTAGTCTTTTGATGCGGGACTTTTTTACAGGCACAATCTGAGCATCTATATAGGTTTGTCACAAGTACATGTTCTTGATGTGCAGAGATGTGATGGTGCAGTATTCGGAGGAGGTCAACAAGTTGGGAAAAAAACTGTTTCAGTTTGTGTCAGAGGCACTTGGACTAGAGCCTAATTATCTGGAGGATATGGAGTGTTCTAAAGGGCATACCTTGGTGTGTCACTACTATCCGCCGTGTCCCTCGACCCTGATCGGACAATAGGACATGCCAAACATACTGACCCTGATTTTCTTACTGTACTCTTACAAGATCACATTGGTGGCCTCCAAGTTCTACATCAAGGCCATTGGGTTGATGTCACTCCACTAAGAGGAGCTTTGGTGGTTAACATTGGAGACCTCTTACAAGTAAGTACAAATGGTACTAAAGAAAGAGAAATGAAAGGTGAAAATCTTTTTAAGTTGTTGTCTGACAAAATCTTTACCGTTTTTGTCAGTTTTACAGAGAAAATAATGAAGTGACCCCAAACAAGGCCTAGAGTGTGTTGTCCCGTATCGGTATTAATGTGAACTGCAATTATCTTCTGCATTTCATGATGGTGCAATCAGAGAAGCTCTTCACTTCTTATCATTTCCTTCTCTTTTTTTTACGGGTTAATTTTAGGAGGATCATGTAGTAGGATACGAAAATTATCTTATCAGTAGGACAAAAATTTTAGTCTAAAAATCATATCAGATTAAGAAAGCCACAACCTTTTGGCGAAACGAATAGTGATAGTTTATTATTTTTTCATACCCCACTGCTGAATTTTCCTTAATTTTAAGGTGAAAATTTTCCCCTGCCATCCAATTGATTATTTATGAAAACAAGTCCACTATCTCTGGTGTTGTTTTACTGCAGCTCATATCTATTGACAAGCTCAAAAGCGTTGAGCACAAAGTGCTGGCTAAATCCACAGGTCCAAGAATATCTGTTGCGTGCTTCTTCTCAACACATTTTCAAGAATCCGACAAACTTTATGGTCCCATCAAAGAACTGTTGACAGATGATAGCCCAGCTTTGTATAAGGAGACTTTCATAAAGGACTTTGTCAACTGTTTCTACTCATCTGGACTTGGTGGAATTTCAGCTCTTTCTCAATTAAGGTTATGTTGATTGAAATGTAAAAGCAATCATCGCCAAACATGGCATAAGACAAGAAATAGTAGATCAATTACATGTGCCTTCTAATTGATGGCTTGACATCGTAAGATTTTATGGTCTTTATTAATCTATGCAAAACTCAAAAACCTTTGCTAATGAAACGACATGTCCCTTATGTTTTAAAAGTTCGCTGTCGTTTGAGGTTATAAATACATGCCGTTCCTTGGTCAGAACTCCAGAAGAGTACTATCTCTCGTATCTTTTACATTCTAGTTCCGTTATAATTTTACTACAGAAAACGACACGTTCCCGACGTTTTGGCATTTTGTTGTCGTTTATGAGAAAAACATGTCGTTTAAACGAAATGTTTGTCTTTTGAATGTATTATTATTATTATTATTGTTATTATTGTTTTAAGTGATTTGTTTTTATTTTCATATTTGACTAGATGAACTAAGAGTTCATTGGAAATGCAAGAAAACTGACCATCTTCATATCTATTAGCTAAATCTATCTTTCTTCTTAGAATTATTTGGATTTCAGATTGGATTTTTCAGTAGGCTTATAAATCTAGAAGGGTGATAACAAATTCACCGATTCAGTAATCAATATATAAGATTGTCTATAAGACTAAAACGAAAGTAGGAATTAGTCTAAGCAGCAAGCCCTGCCAGGCCGATGCCTCCTTTCATCCGATAGTCTTTTAGCAAATCTGCAAAAGAAAAAAAAAAGACTTTGTTAGGAGAACAAACTTGTAAGAAAAATATGTAATTAGAACAGCCTGGCGACTGTGGTTTGATGTAATGATGTTGGTCTTACTTGATAAGCGCATCTTCATAGGTTTCCATGCCTTCCATTGGTTCACATAAACCTGTTTCCAAGTCCAGTTCTGAAACAGGCTTCTTCAATAACTCATTGCCAATATTCACCAGGTTCTCAAGGTTCTCTCTCTTTGAGTTGTCTGTTGATGCTTCAGTGTATTTCAAGCTATCAACCTGCTTTGGATTTGAGTCAGCAATCCCTCTTTCTAATTTTTTTGTGAGATAATACAAAGTCCTTATTACTTTTTGATCAAGAAAATAAACAGTATAAACTGTTTTCACTTTTGAAACTACAACGGAAAAATGGATCAGTACCTGGACTCTAAGATAGTTGTCCTTGAAGCCAGAGGACCTAAAGAAAACAGACATGTAGATGTCAACCATGTCATCCATTGCAGTCAGGACAACATCAATCAAGGGTGTGGTACCCTCTGGTCCCATGAACAATTTATACAGCCCCCAGCTTTTACCATCTCCGACCTCGAGTTTTTCGTCCCTCTTGGATGAACCGGTTCCTAGGGAGAGGATAAGAATCTTGCTGTTATCCATGATGTCCAAACATGAATTTTCCTTTTGAGAGGTCTCCTTCATCACCTCGCGAATCGCGAGTAAAGTCTGTATATTTTGCAGGAGACAAGTTAGCCATGGTTAGCCATGTTGGCTAAAAAGCATTACCATTAACCACAGAGTTGAAGGGTTACAGGGTTATTGGCTGCAACACCACCATCAATGAGGTTGAATCTCTTGGTGCCTTTTGAAGAGTTGTTTTCGAAGTAGTACGGTGGGAGATAGTAAGGTGCTGCTGATGTACCAATGCAGATATCTGATAGCAAAGGATCTTCTGAATCATCGCACTTTGCCTGCAGAACTCAACAGGATTTTTTCTTGAAGGAGTAAAACGAATCAATTCACAACTCCCTGAATCATAGTACTAATTGGAATGTAAAAAAAGAAAGAGTCAAACAGACCTTTAAGGTGGAGAAAATGACAGGCTGGAGAAGCTTGATATCAAAGGATGGAATTATTACGTTGGTTAGAGTCTCATGAAGCCTTTTATCTCCAGTCATATCTTTGATCTTTTTATGCAGATAATCACCATCATATTTGGGATAAAACACCTTCCTTTCAACCATTTCAATGAATCCCTCCACGGATCGGTATGCCGGAACACCATAAGACTTCCATATCGATTCCACCCATTTCGAGATTGTGTCCGACCAGTGAGGATTACACCTGCCAAAGATCAAAGAGTGATTCATCTTTTTTATTGGAAACATTTTTTTTTTCAATTCCAAGTTTACAACTGATTTTATCAAAGCGAGTTTGACATACATTAGGACACTCCTTTGTGCCTGTGCTGATTCTTGAGGAAAGATGAGTTCACTCTCTTGTAGGTAGAAGTTCTTGATATCTGCTGCAGCAAACAAAGGCCGCCCTCTTTCATTCGGCACGGTGAGCATCGCCGTGACTAGGCCGCCTGTGCTTGTTCCAGCAATGAAATCAAAGTAGTCTGCAATTCTAACATCTTCACCATCCAGTTTCTATTTCACTCAAGATACATGTGAATGAGATGATGGAAACTCAGCACTTGCTTCAATAACTTACGGGGATTAACTGGAAAAAACAGATTTATATACCTGAAGTTGGGATTCAAGAAATTCTAAAATTATACTAGGAATTATGCCTCTGACCCCCCCGCCATCAATGCTGAGAATAGAGATAAGTTTTCCATCTGTTCAAAAAATAAAAATAAAAACCCTTTTTTCTCAATATCTGCCTTGTTTTGTTAACATTGAGCACAAAATAGAGCCAACAATGCATCATCCGACAGACCAAATATGTTATTTTGGTACTAGAAGATGTAGTGAGGGAAAATCAACATAATACGTAGATAACTGCAAACTTACCAGTCGCCATCAGAAGACCAAAAATTTGTGGGTTTGTTTTTTCTTTTTTTTTTTTTTGACTCAATAGTAGCTGGTATAACTCATGGAATACCTTTAAATGGAATGATAATTAGTCATATACATTCTCTTTCCATCCCGGTGGTAGCCGTTCAGGAGGTGGTTTTTCCTTTTTGTTCCTTAATATGGCCGTTTCTCAAGTTGTCCATTTCTTCACGTAATCTGATCTTTGGCAGTTATGGAGGTTGTTTCCCTCTCCCTTTATTTTTTCTTCCTTTCTTTCTTTGTTTTTTAGGAAAAAAAAAAAAAAAAAAGCAGTTATGGGCTGTTTCTCTTTTTTGTCGTGAACAAAGAGGAAAACCGCTAAGTAACTTGTTTGAGCATTGAATCGCTTTAATGCTATATTAAAAATTAAATAAAAAATAAAAGACAGAAAATAATATAAAAAATTTAACATGGTTTTACAAGAGGTCTATATTCTTTCACATACTAGAAGCACTATAAATAGGCTCCTTATAAATATAAGTTACAATAACAGAATTAAAAATTTAACATGGGTTTTCTTCGGGTAAGGTTGTATTTCTGAGAAATTGTTCTTAGTGCAAACTGTTGTAATTGATCATTCTTTTAATAGTGCAAATCGAACTTCTTCCGGGGAGTTCGCAGGGACGTAGGCATCAATTTTGCCGAACCCCGATAACAAAGCTTGGTATTCTTTCTCTCGTTTTTCACATTCGATTGATTCAGAATTGAAACTGGTGTTGGATAAATTTCCAACAGCTTTCCTTATAGCAATGCTCCGTTTTTATTATGCAAAATTCATGTTATGTTGGAGTTTCAAGTTGTTGTGCTATTCAAATAGCCCGCTTGGCAGGTTTGAATAGAAAGTTTGTACATAAATTTAAAGTTTTTATTAGAGAAAATACTGCAACAAAAAGGTTTAAACCCGTGGAACAAACGGGCTAAAAAGTTTTGAAGCAGAGTAGCTGTGTTTGCCTGCAAAACAATATCAAAATGTTTTGATATGCAACCGGCAATCTGTTCTGTAAACGAAATTTTGTTTTATTTTTATTTTTTCTTTTAATGTTTCGTTGGATTGTTATGACCTAAATAAGCAAAATTTTTGTCTAATAATGATGTGGATTTTCATTCAGTGCCTACTGTGGATGTTTTGACTTGAATGCTGTTACATTCTCTGCACATACTAGAAGCTACTATTGGTCTTAACTTCTGTGAGGAGGTATATCTTCTTCCTCAATTTTTACCTTTGGTTTTGCATAATTTGTTCTATCTATATAAATGTTGATTCTTTATTATCTATAAACTTGAATTTGGATCCTCAAAACACAGTTAGCGGAACAATTAATGGATATGTATAATGGTTTTTTAGCGGTTGAAGATCTTAAGCCTTCTGTTGAAATTTCAATGGAGGCACATCCCACGTTTAAACAAAGCATGGACTGTGTTTTGTAAAACTGGTCAGAGCACCGAGCAGCATCACAAATGTTAGGGGCCCACAGAAGAGCGAGCCTCATTTCTGATATATATATATATATATATATATATATATTCTTTATTATATATTTTCTATTTTAATAAAATTATCTAGACTCAATTGATGTTTAAGTTGTGATGTTCTGTGTTGGAATGGATATCTTTACTCACAAAAACTCTCTTCTGCATTTTTTTAGTTTTGTTTGTCTTGTGGATATATTAATGGCAAGTTTTTATTTACCTGCATGGCAAAGTTGTTGTGTTTCCCTTTTTTTTTAATGCTGAAGAGATGTGTAAACAGTACCATAATATCACGACTTGTTCAACTTTTAGTTTATTTGGTGATGGATTTGACTTTCGTCATTTGTGTAAGGAAAATTGTACCAATACATGAATTTTCTGAGTAAGTAATGTGTTTTTCTCAGAGTCTAATGTGGATGATCTGACAGAAGTAATACATCGTGTTATACATGATTCTCTAAACTGTCGATATTAGCGACTGTAAAAAGGTATGTCTTTCTTGTATATTTTTGTAGAGCTTTCATTAATTTGTCTATTGGTTATTTTGATTATTCTGCACTTTGTCATAATATAACATTATATATATATATATATATATATATATTGTGAGAGTAAGTACTTTTAGCTCCCCCCAAGCGTTTGGTCTTCTGGGAAGTTCCCTTGATACCTAATTATATGTGTTAGCAATTAACGAACGTTTGTTTTATTCTTCTTTTTATTCTTCTACATGTGATATATATCGTAGGCAACTAGGCATGTTTTTGAAAAGAGAAATTGTGAGATTCATGTAGTTAGTTGTCACTATTTTGTTTGAAAGTTGCTTGGACGAAGTACTTACGACACCTAAAAATTTAAAGAGAGAGAACAATTTATCAAGAGTTAGAACGAAATATATGCGATCTTAAATTTTCTTTTCTTTTTTACCTTAAGGAGGTTATGGAGGTTGTTTCTCTTTTTTATCGTTTTATTATGAGTTTTAGCTTTTAAAGAGGATGATTATGTTCGTTTTTTCCCAACAGATATGGATGACATTGACTAATCAGACTAGAGCTAACGAAGAACATGTCATTTTTTTTTTTTTATGGCTAAACAATTGTCAAATGGGCTTGCTATACCAAAATACGCACAAGCTCCTACGTTCTCCAATGATCAACTAAGTTTACAGAACAATGGTATAAGACATAAATGATCAATTGTTTCTTTTTGTTGGGTGCAAATTTAGGATTTATTTATCCATAGCATTGAGTTAGGAGAACGAGAAAAACAAGTCATTAGTGAGATACAGAAAATGTAATATTTAGTATTTACCTGATAATGAAATTTGATCCAAGTAATTGCATAGATGAAAAAAAAAACATGATGGCCAAAGAAATATATATATATATATATATATATAATAGCCAACGAAATATAACTGATTATGTGATTAAACAACTAAAGAAATATCATAGTAATAATTATTTTTAATTAATTGCCCACTCTGTCAGCCCAGTAGTTGTTACGATGTTCGTGTGCTGGTTTTTATGATCTTATGAAAGCCACAAACTAAACTTTATTATTGTTGTTGCTGCTGCTGCTGTTGTTGTTTGTTTGTTGCTGATCGTAACAAGCAAACCAACTTTATAATTAGCAGCAATGATTCTGAAATTATTTATCTTCCAAGAGAGAGAAAATGTTGAGAGATAAAATCCTTCCAACTTTTAATTTTTTACTTGTGGAAGGAGCAAAACATGGTGTAACAAGCACTCAAGGATTCGTGCGTCAATAGGGGTAGATTTATGGTTGTGTTTTACTTAATCAAGCCAAGAAAATTTGTATGAAATAAGCTAAAAATAGTAAATGATTGGTCATTTCCATCTATTTCCATCTAAGAAAATAGTAATCTTGATCTTTTACCATCTTTTAATATGGTTCTGACTTGAGGAGACCTTAATATTTGTTTAAATATTAACAGTTGATATTGTGCATAAGTACTGTATAAGCACTAAAACGCATAAAATCCTCATGGGGTATTATTATTATTTTTTTTTATTCCTTCATCGAGTGAGAAACAACTAATATTAGTTGTCTCACATGTAACAAGCAAACCAACTTTATAATTAGCAACCATGTTCTTGTTCTTGTTCTTTTTCTTGTTCTTATTCTTGTTCTTATTCTTATTCTTATTCTTGTTCTTGTGCTGATCGTAACAAGCAAACCAACTTTATAATTAGCTACCATGATTCTGAAATTATATATCTTTAGCCAAGAGAGAGAATGTTGAGAGATAAGATTCTTCCAACTTTTAATTTGTAACTTGTGGAAGTAGCAAAACATGGTGTACAAGCTGTTTGCGGTAAAAAAAAATGGCTCACAAATGGGCCTTAAAAAAAATGAGAAGAGAAAATAAAACTTTGTGCTTGTTCAATTTTAAGCTGGTCCAAAAAATAATAATAATAATGAAAAAAAGAGAAAAAAAAAAGAGGGATTAAGAAAATGCACGTTTTAAAATGTGAAGAGATAGTGTAGTGTGTGTAAAACGCGGAGCAGTGATAAAAAAAGATGATGGTGCAGAACGTGAATAGTGATAAAAACTGCTGTGGAATTCTTTTATATAAAGGAAGAAACAGGAGGAAAAGTTTTTCTGCAAAAAAAAATAAACTCTTGGTGCGTGTGTGCAGAAGAGACATGAGAACGCAAGAAAAAAAAACAAACAGAAAAAAAACTTGGTGCGCGTGTGCAAAGAAAAGTGAAAGAATATATATATATATATATATATATACACACACATAAAAAGGTGCAGACGTGCGTGGGGAGGCGTGAGAAGGGAAAAAAAAAAAAAAAAAGAGACTGTGCCGTGTGTGGGAGAACGTGAGAAGAGAAAGAAAAAAAAAAACAAAAGGTGCAAGTGTGTGCAGAAAAGTGCATAGAAGTGAAAAAAATATATACATATTTTGATCTTTTAATCTTTTTTTGCACTAATAATTTTAGTTTTTTGTATTATTAAACAGATACAATACATTTAAATTAAATCTTATATATATTTTAAAGTGTGAAATTGTGATTTACTTCTTAACATTCTTCACGAAGATAAATCTTATATACGACTTATGGCGTGAGATTTCTAATACCCTTAATAAATTCTTAATGCATTCATGGTGTGTGTTTTCTTATTCTTATCACAATCTCATGATTATCATTGAGACTTGAATTTCTTTTTAGAGATATATATAAGTTAAATGTGATTTTAAAAAATCAAGGATTAAAAGTTTCTCAAAAACTTTGTTATGATTGTTTTGAGTATAATTCGAGTGAAAAATTTATACGAATTACACTTTAAAGATCGGCATATAAGAAATTATGTGCATATGATCTATACAAAAATATTCATATGAATCGCACTATATTCGTTAAGAAACAATCAAAGAAGAAAAATTAATATATATATATATATATATATATATCCAAGAGTTCATGTGTGCTGACGCTTGCAGGAAGAAAGCATTTGTAGGAAGAAGTCTACGTGCCATGCGTTTGCAGGAAGAAAGCGTTTGTGGCTTAGATATATAAAAAAAAAAAAAAAAAAAAAAAAAAAAAAAGGAGGAAACGTGTAGAAAGGATGAGGATGAGGGAAATCTAAGTTTCCTTTGAAATCAAATGTTAGCACAAAAAAAGAAGGGATATACATCATATAATCAGATTAATTGATTTAGATATAATGAAATTCAAAATTAAAAAAAAATAAGAGATAAAGGATAAATTTCAAAAAAAATTAAAATATTAAATACTTAAAAATTTAAAGTGCACAAATTGAGCTCCTTTACGGTCTCTTAGTTCAAAAAGATGAGCCTATTATCTCATAAAACCATATGGTGATTAAATATAATTTTTAAATCCCAAATTCAAATAAAAAAAAATCTCAACCCAAAATTCAAAAAGGATTATTTTAATTTCTCATAAGGTCATATACTGAGAAATTATCCAAATACAACTTTCAAATCCAAATTATAAAATTTCAAATCAAATTTTGAAACACCTTTTAATTCCTCACAAGGTCATATACCGGAGAATTTTCTAAATACAACTTTCAAATCCAAATTCTAAAGTAAAATTTCAAATCAAATTTTAAAAACATCTTTGAACTCCTCCTATGGTCATATATTGGGGAATTCTTCAAAATTCAAAATCAAAATCAAGAACTACGATTGACTTGATTTCCTATGAGATACGTAGGCAACCTAAAATTTAGGTGCAGTTTCAAGATCGAATTCAATTGATTTAGATATAATGAAATTCAAAATTAAAAAAAAATAAGAGATAAAGGATAAATTTCAAAAAAAATTAAAATATTAAATACTTAAAAATTTAAAGTGCACAAATTGAGCTCCTTTATAGTCTCTTAGTTCAAAAAGATGAGCTCATTGTCTCATAAAACCATATGGTGATTAAATACAATTTTCAAATCCTAAATTCAAATAAAAAAAAATCTCAACCCAAAATTCAAAAAGGATTATTTTAATTTCTCATAAGGTCATATACTGGGGAATTATCCAAATATAACTTTCAAATCCAAATTATAAAATTTCAAATCAAATTTTGAAACACCTTTTAATTCCTCACAAGGTCATATACCGGAGAATTTTCTAAATACAACTTTCAAATCCAAATTCTAAAGTAAAATTCCAAATCAAATTTTAAAAACATCTTTGAACTCCTCCTATGGTCATATATCGGGGAATTCTTCAAAATTCAAAATCAAAATCAAGAACTACGATTGACTTGATTTCCTATGAGATACGTAGGCAACTTAAAATTTAGGTGCAGTTTCAAGTTCGAATTCAATCCTAAAAATCCTCATAATAGACAAAATCAAAACAAAATTAAATCAAATTTCAAAGTGCGTCAATTCCTCATAAGGTCATACACCGAGGAATTATCTAAAATTTTTAAATCCGAAATTCGAACTACAAGTGGCTTGATCCCTTAACGGGGGATGTAGGCAACTTGATAAAATTCACTGAGTTTAGCCGCAATTTTAAATCAACCCAAATTTCTCAAATTCACAATAAAATAGAATTTACTGTTTTAACTGGAATCAAAAGGTCTTCTCTTGTACCAAGGGATTGTAATTGAGAGGTTATTCTTATAATCTTGAATAGGTCGAACTAAAAATAATAAACTCCTATACTACTTAAATCCTATGATAGGTGAAATTATGTTGTGCGTGAAATATTATTTCAACATTAATAAATATTTTCACTCAACACAAACACTCAAGGATTCGCGCGTCGATAGGCGTAGATTTGTGGTTGTATTTTACTTAATCAAGCTGAGAAAAGTTGTATGAAATAAGCTAAAAATAGTAAATGATGGGTCATTTCTGTCTATTTCCATTTAAGAAAGTAATATTTTTGATCTTTTACTATCTTTTAATTTAGTTCTGATCAGACGAAACCTCAATATTTACTTAAATATTGACAGTTGATATTGTGCATAACTACTGTTTAAGTACTAGGGGGCCAGTGTAAGACGCAGAAAATCCTCATGGGGCATTATTATTTTTTTTTTATTCCTTCATCGAGTCAGAAACAACTAATATTAGTTGTCTCACATGTAATAAATATACTAAAGTGAAGGCATGGAACACTGTTCATCACGATTAAAGTCTCTTTCATTTCGCTGATTTGAGTTTAGAATTTGAGTTTTGCTACGGTAAAAAACTCTCACAAACAATCACATTTAACTTTTTTACTATAGTAAAAATCTCTTACATAAAATCACATCTCAATTCAAATTAAAAACTCAAATCAGAAAAACTAAACTTTAACTTTTTTACTACAGTAAAAATCTCTCACATAAAATCACATCTCAATTCAAATTAAAAACTCAAATCAGAGGGCCTAAATGTACGTACAATTTCCAAAATTCTGTATCCCTCCACTTTGAATCGGTTTGCTCCTTCTGTGGTGTGATTGTACGATTTCGCCTTTAGCTTTTTACTCCTTCATTTGTTTTTGGTTGGGCCATTTTGGTCATATCGGTTCATTATGTGGTGTGATTGCACGATTTTACCCTCAGCTTTTTACTCCTCAATTTGTTCTTAGTTGGGCCGTTTTGATCATTTCGGTGCAATGAAGTTTCTAGGATTTATTCCTTCCACGATGCCTTCATTGTTTCGCCTCCTTCATTATATTTAGGCAGAAATTCTACCTCATCTTCTTCCTAAGCATAGCAATCAACAAATTTCTTCCTTCGTCTTCATCTTCATCTTCTTCATCTAAGATCAGAATCAACGGCGAGTTGTTTTTCTTTTTAAACAAACTTCACTTTAGTAGTTGCTTTTTCTTCGTCGTTCCAACCTCCACTCCACAACAGAATTCAAAATAAGCTGCTAAGTGGAGGAAAGAGATGGACATCAATCCACAACAGAATTCAGAATCTGCTACGGATTATGAAAGAGCAAAATCGTTGAAGGCCTTTGATGACGCAAAAGCCGGTGTTAAAGGACTTGTTGATGCCGGCATTTCAACTATACCTCCTTTCTTTGTCATGCCACCAGAAGACCTATCATCGTCCCAGAGGCCAGGGGATTTGGGATTTCCCCGGTTCAAGGTTCCGACAATAGACCTCAAACACACTCATGGAGATTTTCTATGGCGAAAGCAAATCGTAGAGGAAATCAGATGTGCTTGTGAGACATGGGGATTCTTCCAGGTTGTGAACCATGGGATTCCACAAGACATAATGGACCAAATGCTCGAAGGCGTTCGAAGATTCAACGAGCAGTCAAATGAAGCGAAGATGGAGATCTACTCACGCGATAAGATGAAAAAAGTGCGGTTCAATAGCAACTTTGATCTGTACAAGGCCAAAGCTGCAAATTGGAGGGACACTTTGTTGTGTGCCATGGCTCCCAATCCACCACAGCCTGAAGAATATCCAGCAGCCTGCAGGTAAACCCATCCCCTTGAAAAGCATTATGTGTACAGTTAGATTACTAGAGAGATCAAAGATCTTGTTGGAGTTGGTCCTTAGGTTCTTGGTATAAAAGCATTTATATTGGCATTAGTGTATTTACACATGTTTCATTCGCTCTTGTTACCTAACTGCAGAGACATAATGAAGCAGTACTCTGAACACGTTGAGAAGTTGGGAGAAATTCTGTATCAGTTGATATCACAAGCACTTGAACTTGATCCCAATCACCTAGAAGATATGGGGTGTGCGAAAGGGCATGTCTTTTTCTGTCACTACTATCCGGCATGTCCTGAACCCGATCGGACCTTGGGACATGCTAAACATACAGATCCGTCTTTTCTCACTATACTTTTACAAGATCACATTGGTGGCCTTCAAGTTCTGCACCAAAATCGCTGGGTTGATGTCCCTCCAGTGAGAGGTGCTCTTGTGATTAACATTGGAGACCTCTTACAAGTAAAAGAGCAACATCCTATATTCTACAATCTACATCTATTGATTAACATGTTTAAGACTGTTTTCGGAATTTTCATGCCGGTTTTATCCATCTTGATCTAATTTGAATCAGCGCTTTTTTTTTTTTTTTTTTTGCAGCTCATCTCTAATGACAAATTCAAAAGCATTGAGCACAGAGTGCTGGCTAAATCCGCCGGTCCAAGAATATCTGCTGCGTGCTTTTTCACGACACATTTTCAAGAATCTGACAAGCTTTACGGTCCTATCAAAGAGTTGCTGAAAGATGATAATCCACCTTTGTACAAGGAGACCTACGTCAAGGACTACATCGACTCTTTCCATTCAGCAGGACTTGGCGGAATTTCTGCCCTTGCTCAGTTGAGGTTGTGATAGCAGAAGAAACGTAAAAGCAAACAGTCGTAGAAACGTGGCCTAAGAATCTTTTGATATATCAACACGAAATAAGGGATTCGAATAATAATCCGACAAGGCTTGCTTCTGTACAAATCACCATGAAAAAGAAATAAAACTCATGTAGTGAATAAATAAATGCAACAGAAAACGTGTCTTGTAAACACTTGGCCAGGACTGATCGGGATTCATAAATTAAAATCAAGCGAGTGTTTATTCTCTATTTTATTGGAAGAGAAATAACATTACATGTGTTCCAAGTTTAATAAATTGTTACAGGCCAAAAATTCTCATACATAGCTTAAAATTGGAAGTATAACATCTAATCAATAGCCAGCTATGACTGCAAAACAAATACGGACCTAATCTAAATGAGCATCGACCTTCCAACATGCTTTAAAATTCTACAAAATCTTCCATTGCCAACAAGTTGATCGTGATTTCTTTCACTCCCAATCCTCATCACTCAACTGATCATCTACCGCATCCTTCGGCGGCCTGACCACCAAAACCACCGTCCCCAAGCTCTCCTCCACGCCAGTTTCCTTCAAAGCCGATCCCCTCTCAACCTTCAAATCGCCGCCATCACCGCCCACCAAGTAAAAGCCGTTATCCACACTCACTTCCTTCCTGTCCCTATCCGCCACCACCAATATCGCCTCCTCCTTGTACCACCTATTAGTCCTCCACGGCAACACCCTCGCATCACTAAACGAAACCACCACTCCGCCTTTCCCCAACCCCGCCACGGGTTCCCACGCTGGCAGCACCACCCACCTGGCCCACCCCTTCTCCGCCACCACCACCCCGAACTCCCCCTCGGTCCAGCATTCCCTCGGCGCCTCCTCCAACCCCTTGTCCCTCTCCCCCGCCTTACAAACCGGCAGAACCGCCACCGTGCTCGCCTCCGCCACCTCCCCAATCTTCAACCTCACCACCGGAACCCTAACTTCCTCCCCAATTTCCCCTTCACCCGTGATTTCACCCTCACCCTCTGCATTCAACTCCTCCAAGACTCTACCTTTCGCTCTCTCAGTCACGGCAGCACTCAAAGCCTGTTCCAAAGCAGCCGTTCTCTGCTCCGAAGGTTTCTTATGTTCTCTACTCTGTCTAAAATACATAAACGCGAGACAATCACCTGGTTGAGTATAATCGAAGCTTTCCCATCCCTTATCGCCTCTGCGACGGGGGAAATCCCTCACGGAGCGGGCGAGATCCTGGACTCCTCGGGCGTCGAGGCCATTGGCGGCGATGTAGGAGGCGGCGGCCGATCGCTGCTGGGCGTTAAGGAGGCGGATTTCGTAGAGGAGCTCGGCGCCGCCGAGGTCGAAGGCGGAGACGACGGCGGGGTCAGTGTTGGACTGGATGAGGGAGTCGCGGACCTGGGCCGCGACGACGAGGTGGTTCTGCTCGATGCCGGAGATGCCGGTGGCTTCCTCGAGGGAGGGAGGGGTGAAGCCTTCCTGGATGAGGGAGGGGATGAGTGGGGCGTACTCGAACCAGAGGCCGAGGCGGTCGGCGAGGACTTCGAGGCGGGATTTGACGTCGAGTGACCGGAACTGGTTGGGGAGAGGAGACGGCGGTGGCCGGAAGGGCTGGTAGAGCTGCTGCTGAGAAGGCGGCGGAAATGGGTTGGAGAAGGTGGCGGAGATGGGTTTGAGAGAGGGCTTGGAGAGGAGGAGGAAGCTGGGGTGGAATGAAGAGAATGGCTTCAGAGTGTTTGAGGTTAGAGAGAGCATTTTTTTGTGCCAAAAATGGAAGCTTTCTGGTTCGAAGAAGAAGAAGTTTAGTGATGAAATGAAGGTTGTTTTGCGCCTTATCTGATTGCGGACTTTTTTTTTTTTTTTTGGGGGATTGATGTAATAATGGCTGTTTTGATAAAACGGTTAGATATCCAACTGTAAGAATGATAAGCGGGCCAGAATTCAGTTAAGAAAGGCTGGATTGAACGGGCCTGATTTCAGGAGACCACATGAGTGCTACATCCCTGACTGGGCCAGGCCCATGCGAGGAACCCCTTGAAAAGAGAAAATTAGGAAACGTGCAATCTAACTCAACTCTTAAGGCTTTTTAATTTGTGCATCTTACAAAAATGATGAAATAATTACACAAGATCACTATTAAACTCCATTGTTTAGAACATGTAATTAATTTAACAGTGTTGTTGATTTGTCCATGTTATGGTTGTTGAGATAATATCATTTCGGATGTACCTTTTTATGAATTTGTAACTCGTGTTAAAAGGTTATTAACAGAGGATAAAAATGTCATTACAGATCAAGTTACAGACTTCTATGTAAATATCACAACTTGTGGACATTCTTTTTTCATCCCTGCATAATAGACATATATGTAATTAACTCATTATAAAATAGAGAAAATGAGCTCAGAAATTTTACATATTTATAATATGGTGTAGAGGATTTTTTTTTTTTTTAAAAGAAGGGAATAAATTTTTGTGCTCTAATCGAAAGGACATTCCTCTATATGTCTCAACCTTGACCTTAGCGTAGCCTGAAGCTAGCTTAAACACCGTAGCCACACCACGCCCTAGAACTTTGATGAGCTTACCGTGTGAAAAAACACAGCAACACCCTCTAGCATTACCTTCTACTTCTACAATGCCAGGGTAAGTGTAAGGGTGTGTAAGTGGACGTTTGATTTATAGATTTAGAATTATTTTCGTTTTACGTGTATTTTTTGTGAGAAAAACACGCTGTAGAGAATCATGAATCATGATTCAGAATCAAAGACAAATACAAGAAACAAACATCTCCACGTGTGTTTAACTTTTAAGAAATTTAGTTTAGAAAAAAATATTATGATGGGTAAAAATTTAAGAACTTTGACATAAGTTGTATGTACATATTATATATAATAATATTACTTTCCAAAAAGAGTTGGCATGAAACCCCTGTCCCAAAAAGTCTAATACAGCTCCAAAACTCTATAGACCTTTAATTAGTAGAATATTAAGAGAGGAGTTATTGGGTTTAGCTGAATCCAGCCCAAAGCGTTAGACCTAGAGCCCATCAATTATATCAGGGATGGGCTCGGACTGCCCAATGGTAATTGATTTTTGGTCATTTCGAAATTTTCAAATGAAACTAAGGACGCGTTTAGAACTCGTTCTAAAATAATTTTACTTTTTATATGAAAATAAAAATAAAAATATTTTTAATCTCAAATAGAAATTATTTTTGAAAATGTGTTTGGTAGTTTTATCAAGAGATTATTTTCAGTATAAAAAAATCTATTAATATCTCTATATCTAAGGCTGATCCTCGATGAGTTGGTGTTTGATGGAGAACGGGAAATCCTGAAACGCACGTTGATCTATAATTGGGTCAAGCATTTCCTTGGCTTACTAATGATCACTTCGATTGAATCGTATTATCGATGGCGAATATTTTCGTATTTTGAACGAGGTTAATCTCTATAACCGACTTGGGGAGAGACAAGAGACAAATAGGTTGTTCTTTTGCATTTTTGAGTTATGGTAACTTGAATGATCTAAAATTGACTTTAAGTTATAACTTGAGTTGAAGTTGTAATTTGAGTTTGTGTTTGAATGTGCATATTTGAGTTATGATTTGAATTGAGAATCTTTTTGAGTTTGTGTTTGGGTGGGTCAAAATTTAAATTTGTAGTTAGATAGTATTTTAACAAAAACTCAATGGTGATGAAAAATTTTAATAAGATATATGAGTGGGGTTTTATTTGTCTTTTCGTTGTGAATTCATAGAAAAAAAACATCTCAATCAGAATTAAAACGAAAAAGTTATGGCATTTTTAAGAATAGAAAAAATACTGTTCATTAACTTGAGTTCGAGTTTATGAACACGAGTTGAAGGGGAAATTAAAACTCGAGTTTAGCCCCAAACTCGAGCTCAAACTCAAATTTTATAAAAGAATACAAACTTAAATAAAATTGTAACTCGAATTTAAACTTTTTTTGAGTTTTATTGCGGAAAAAAAAAAAAAAAAAAAAAAGAAGCCTCCACGCCCCTTTTTTTTTTTTTGCTCAAAATTTTTTTTTTTTTTTTTGGGTTGAATACATGTTCAAAATCTTAATGCGTGTACTATTCTGTTCCTTGTTTTATAGGTGCTAATTTGACCCTTTCTTGTTCAATGGTATAAATATGGATTATGTATTTCACCGCATAATGCATACCCTTTAGTTAGAAATGCACTAAATTCTGTGCTGTTGACGATCATCTTATAAATTTTCACTCCGCTGCTATTCACAGTTTTACACCAGACTTGACCAAAATTTATTAACTTGTTCTTTGCACCCAAACTCAAACAAAATTTAAACTCAAGTTGTAACTTTATTCAAGTTCATGTTCTTTTGTAAAACGTAAGTTTTAACTTGAGCTTAGAGTTAAAATATGAGTTCAAGTTCCCCCTTCAACTCAAGTTCCTAAATTTAAACTAAACGTCATGAACAATATTTTTTCTATTATTAAAAGTGGAATAATTTTTTCATTTTAATTCTGATTGAGATGATTTTTATTTTCTATGCGTTCACAACGAAGAAACGAATAAAACCGCACCCATATATCATATTAAAATTTTCCATCACTATTGAGTTTTTATTAAAATACTATCAAAATATAAATTTAAGTTTTGACCCACCCAAACACAAACTCTAATAGATTCGCAATTCAAATCATAACTCAAAATGTGCACATCCAAACACAAACTCAAATTAGAGTTTCAACTCAACCCATACTCAAATACACCTTAACTCAAATTAAGATCTGAACTTAAATTAGTGCTGGAACTTTAGACGGGCCGCCCGTGACCGCCCGAAAAGCCCGAGGATTTGCCCGAGCCCGAACCCGACCCGCCTGAGATTTTGGGGCCGCCCGCCCGAGCCCGAATTTCACCTTGAACGGGCCGCGGGCTTGTATTCAGCGGCCCGAGCCCGCCCGAATTGCCTGAATTTTTTAAACTTTTTTTTTAATATTAAGTTATTTATATATATATTAGTATTACAATTTATATATATATATATATTAAATTTGAAATGAACACACGAACTATATAAAAAAATTATTTCTTTATTAATTTTTAAATTTGTAATTCATGATTGCCTCATTAAAAACCTTACCAAGAAAAACCCAATTGGGATAAAAACTTGGCAAGGAAAAAAGAGTGCAATCATTTTGTGACGAATTACAAATTGTACAAACTTACATTGTTTATTAAATTACAAATACAATGTAAAAAGTAAATACATATTTACAAATTACAAATTTACAATTTAATTTGAAGCTGAGGGATCGTCTTCAAAATTAAATGTTAATCGAT